AACTGCCCTGGAACGCCATCCCTATATTCATTCCTGGTACGACAGATGTCACGGAGTACTCAAAGAAGCTACAGTTCCTGGCGGCCATGTGGCCGAAGGAGAGCCTTTCGCTGCTCGCACCGCGTGCAGCTTTGCTCTGCGAGGGCACCTCTTTTAAGAAAGTGTCTAAGCTGCCAGCCGACAAGCTGAAGAGCAACGATGAGAGCGGGGTACAGCTCTTGGTCGCGACTCTTGGTGGGTCCTGGGGGCGCTCCGAGGTAGAGCGCAAGTACGATGTTTTCGAGAAGGCCATTTACGGGACCATCCAGAAGTCCGACGAGTCGAACGACAGCTATTTGGCGAGGCACGACGTGCACTTCGAGGAGCTCTTGGCGCAGAACGTGTCGCTCGAGGAGATCAGAGCGTATGTGCTCTTGAGACAATCGGCCCTGTCGGCCGAAGACAGGAAGAAGATTGTCGTGGAGATGGGCGGCACCCTCAAGTATGATAAGGTCAGCTCGGCGGTTCGTTTGCTTGGTTCCAGATTCTTTTCTGATTTGCAGGGCCAGCGAGGCGCATTTCGGAATAAGACTTACGATGCGAACATTGCCGATGAGGTGGGAGCCGACGAGACTGATCGGGTGTATCATGCAGCAGCTCCTGCAAGCACAGGAGAGGAGTATGAGCCGGAGCTCGAGCCTGAGTACATAGAGGCCTTGGTTGCGGCGGAGGACCAGGATGCTCTCACCATCGCCAGCTTCGAGGACGAGTTGGAGACCTTCTTCCAGGACACACCGGAGCTTCAGGAGGCTTTGGTGAGCTACCTGGAGGCCAGATCGAGGCTTTTGTCAAAGCGTAAGGTTCGTGGCTTCTGGCCGGTGAGTGGGCACAAGGGTGCCAAGGCCAGCGGAAAAGGAGCCAAGGGAAAGGGGAAGGGCAAGAGTGGCCGAGATCAGCTGTTGGCTAGGATAGCCAAGTCAACATGTAGGGCATGCGGGGAGCGAGGACACTGGAAAGCGGAGTGTCCTAAGTACGGTCGCCCTGGGTCAATGTCATCTGCCCCCAAGAACGATGCAACGACGACCTTTGCCGAGGAATGCCCCACTCAGGCCACCGCGTACATGTCAGGACCCTTTCCCGATGGCGCAGGAGCCGAGATCCTCACACAGCTACCCGAGGAAGCTGTTTCGCTTGCCGAGGCTTTCAGAGCAGTTGAAATTCCGAGGTTGTCTAAGGTAGCTAGTCGGTTGAGTGTTCTCGTGAAGAACTTTCAGCAGCGTGAGGCCCTAAATAAGAACCCGCAGCTCCCCAGGCAGCCCAGAAGTGGAGTCAAGACATGGACTGAGACCCTCTCGAGACGGCATGAGGACACATCTCCTGCTGAGCTGTGTGCATCGGAGGTCGCCTTGCAAAGTGCGACCACGGTAGAAGCGATCCTGGACACAGGTGCAAGCCGTTGTGTCATGGGACACTTGCTCCTTGATCAATTCCTGAGCCAACTGAGTGATAAGGTCCGTAGTATGGTTCGGGTGACTAAGAGCTCGGTTCGGTTTCGGTTTGGGAATAATCAAACCTTGGTTAGCTCTAAGCGCCTGCTAGTGCCAATCCGGACCCTAGATCACCAGGTTTTGTGGCTTGGAGTAGAGATCGTCCCGGGCAGCACTCCACTGTTGTTCTCTAAACGGGCAATCAAGCAGTTGGGTGGGGTCATAGATACAACCACAGACACATGCTGCCTCAGACGTCTCCGAAAGACGTTCTCGTTGCGCGAAGGCGCCACTGGCCTGTACATGTTGGATCTTGCCGGTTTGAGTGAAGAAAGCTGCCGTACGGAGCAGCAGTGCCAACATGTTGATGAAGCCTGTGCCCAAAGCCCTGAAGACAAAGCCGAGCCCATCCAAAACACAAACCTGCCCCTCAAGCCCAGCCCATCCGAGGAGCCATGCATGCAGACAGACCAACCTGTGGTGAATGAGAAGCCAGAAAGCCTTTGTACCCATCCTGTCCAGCGCTTCTCTAGGGGTCCCCAGGGTCAGAATTCATATTTTTCTCGATTCCGTAAATACCCGGAGTCTGTTAATGTTAAGTCGTCACAAGCCCAATGCCCAGATGATAGTCAAGCCGAAATCATGATGCAACAATCTTCACAACCAGCCGCGAACAGCTCAACTGTCCCAGAGCCCTTGTCCCATCCTCCTGCCCCCGCACTTCCAGATGGCCCAGAGCAAGGCAGCCAGCAGTGCATCCAGTGTCGGGAACCCCTCGCTGGGAGCTCGCTTCTCTCGTCTTACAGACGAGACCGTGACCTGCACTCTGGAACAGGCCCAGGTCATGCCTCTTTCCGAGCTCGGACAACAGCTCATCACTTTCGGAAAGCAACAGAAGGGGCGCACGTTCGAGGAAGTGGTGACCAAGGAGGCTTCCTGGGTTCGCTGGTGTTGCGATCATCTGCACACCAGCACCAAGCATGTCCACGTCATCTTTCTCCTCTACGTGGAACGCTATGTCCAAGAGGCAGAAGCTCTGGAAGAGGAGTTGATTCAGGACACAGAGGCAATCGCTTCCACGGCGGTAGCTGCCAAGAGCAAAGCTGCTCCCCGCACAAAGTCCGCTTCCGGACCCAAGCCCGACGACGATCGCTGGGACATGATCGCCGATCCCGAGTTCCATCACCCGGTCGAGGCGCAGGTCACCGACCTGAACCACCGCATGAACCAGATGGAAGGGATGATGCATCAGATGCTGAATGCCATTCAGCAGCTCAGCACAGCCCAGCAGCAATCGTAGATGCGGTTCAGACGTGCAGGGATGAGCTTCAGGCTCTCTTGAGCGCTACGCCAGCTGTAAAGAACCTAGAGTGGATTGAGGATCAGGCTAAGAAGCTTCTTGACGTGTCCAGTAAGATTTCGGATGTGAAGAGTTTTCTCCGAAATGTCCCGTGGCACCGGCTAACCTGTTCCCATAAGCCCGCGAGAGCCATCATGCAAGAAGAAGAATCCAATCCTAAGAGACCTCCAGCTTACATTACCTTCGGGACTTTTGTGCATGGTGGGATTGTTGGGGTTACGAGGGTTTCTCGCGCGTTTCCCTATCTTACGAAGCTACTTGCGAGACTGATGTCCCAAACCCAACCCGATCATCCATTCACGTCAGTATCTATATCGTGCAACACAAAAGCCAAGCCGCACCGAGACAGCTATAACAGTTTGGGCATCCCAAATCTTGTTGTTCCCCTCCTTCATCCCCAAAGCGGTGGAGAGATCTGGGTAGCTAGTCCTCCTGGGCCCAACCAGAAGAGCATGAGCTTGGTGTGTGCGGGCAAGAGATTGCCTGGATCTGTTCGATGCCTTCAGGATCACCTTTTGCTTGATCCACACGTGTGGCACGCAACGTTGCCGTGGAGCGGCAACCGC